ATAATTCTGAGATGAGGTATTATGTACATTATTTATTTCACTAACTAACGCATTTTCCCACTGTGCCATGTGTCCTCAAAGACGTAGTGGATAAAGGCGTTAGTTAGATCCAGTGACAGGACCCAATGAGTGTGAGTTCAATACCCGGTTAAGGCAGTGCAGAACATTCAGAGGTAAATGATAACTGCAATCCAGTAAATATGGCACGTGGAACTATGAGGACAATAGTCCGAATAATATAAATAATGCGATATGGATTTTTAAGAAATTTTCTTAATTTATCATTATATATATATGTATATATATATATATATGAAGAAATATAGTTTTAAGATGTACTATATTTATGGGATGCTCAATATCAGAGATACAGCGTGTGTAAATATAAAAGTGAACATAGAAGTCATCACTTAGGGGCGACAGTCTGTTTCATACTAGATGCAATCATCAAGCCACGAGTGCTATTATACTTCTCGGCTATTTATATATATGGGTCAGTGGTGCATTGTGGGTAGCCTATTTTGGCGGTTATTTTACCGGAAGTGGTTTAATTGTTTATTTATTTATTTGGATTAAATTATTTTGCTTGTTTTTATTTATTTTTATTTTTTATTTGTATTTCTTATCTTATATATTTATTTATTTACTTATTTATTTATTTTTTATTTTTTATTGTAATCGGTGTTTTTATTAACGTTGTAGAAATTTGCTCATATCGCTTATTTAATAGTTTTGTTTAGGTTTGGGAAGATAATTAAAGTTATTTATTCAATTTTGGGGTTGATTGTTGTAGTTTATTCTAACTATTATTTTGGCGGGAGCAGTTTTTAATTTGTTTATTACTTCATGTATTTATTTTGATTGATTATCTTTATTTGATTTTTTATAACAGCACTCGTGGCCGGACGATTGCATCTAGCGTGAAACAGACTGTCGTCTCTAAGTGTTGACTTCTATCTTGACTTATATATATATATATATATATATATATATATATATATATATATATAGTTATTATTCGATACATTTTAGTAGATATATATAGTTGAGTAGACGCTCCGTTTTATTTTAAACCTTATTTTTGTCGGCCTCCATACTCTTCACGTGTTCTTTTTTCCCAGCATAAATTTTACATATTTGCTCATACATCTATAAATTTGTTTACTATCTCTCTCTGTGTCCCTCTTTCTCTCTCTCTCTCTCTCTCTATATATATATATATATATATATATATATATATATATATATATATATATGTGTGTGTGTGTGTATATATAAAAAAAACTCAAACACTAATATTCCATGGTTATAATTTATTACATTGGAATCGTAATCACGATCCAATTCATCAGACGTATAAATTCAAAAAAGAAGATATTTTCCAATTTTTTTTGAATTTGTAGAATTTATTATATATATATATATATATATATATATATATATATATATATATATATGTGTGTGTGTGTGTGTGTGTGTGTAATATAAAAAAGTCAAACACTAATATTCCATGGTTGTAATTTATTACATTGGAATCGTAATCACGATCCAATTCATCAGACGTAAAATTCAAAAGAAGATATTTTCCAATTTCTTTTTGAATTTGTAGAATTTATTTATATATATATATATATATATATATATATATATATATATATATATATATATATATACATTGACCACTAATATTATCAATGCTACTGATGCTGAATGATTGCTTTTGTAAATTCTAAAGAAACACTTCATCACAACGGTACGGTGGGTGCGAAAGATTGTGCCTCCTAAATCCTTGTTTATATTTACGATGCAGTTAATCTTCCCTTTACTCAGTTGCTCACAGCCCAGTTTTCAAGAGAACCATCTCGAAATGATAAACTATCAATGTTGGAAAGGGGCTGGAGAAAATGATAAAGGGTCAACGAGCAAACCTCTGTGTTAGATGTCCTGCTGTCCCGGAAGAAGCAACATCTGGATAGTGTTAAAATCGTTGCAAACTAAGTTAGTGATTATAGCTGAGGCGACGTTGACAAGGGCTGTTATAGTGAGCAAGGTTCAGCCAAAGTGACCTCTTCTCTCTGTGTCCAGGAAATACATTTTCCTTGTGTCAGCATCATAGCGTGAATGCTTGCCTTGAGCTGTACATTGGAGTTGAGAATGGACAGATCTGGAGAGTATAAATCGATATTTAACGAAAGCAGCGGTATATTAGCGACTCAATCCGAATTTAGCAACTAAGAAATTATTAGAGTAAAAAATAAAAAATAAAGTTCGTGGTTAGAGATAACGTTAAGTTAAAAACTAGCGCACAAGAGTTGTAACACGAGAAGCCAGTGTTAATTGCTTCATACAACGATCAGATGCATAATCCAAAATAAATATTTTAGAAAGAGTAAAACAGATAAATAGAGCAAAATAACATTGTTGGATAGCATTTCAGCTATTTTTACATATAATCAACACCGTTTGCTATACAGTATCGCCAAAGCCTAATAGCAGAGTGCATTTTGTGGGGTGAGTGCTGTGCAGGGACAACTAGAACGGGCCTTGTTACACACATCATTGAAATCTATTACCCACAACGCACCGTGCTGGTATCCGTTTATTGATATCCATACGAGCTCAGCAAGTATGGCGAAAATCAGTGACCATTTCTGCATGAACTCACTTTCCTGTCAGTCGCTATTTTACCAGACTACCGCGCAGTTGCTGTATCAAGGCAAATAATATTATGATTGAATGAAATCATTCTCGACAGCTATATCGTTATCAATCGCCTCTGTTGTTAAAGGCCAACATAATAGAATGCCAGTATTTCGACGTGGTGCAATGGTTAGCAAGCTTTTTCTCGCTAGAATAATTACGAATGAGTAGAGAGTTCGATCCTCACTGGGTACCCTATACTTTTGGACTTGTGCCACATCTAAGACAAGCGTAGAAAATTACCATAATTTTAATGAGAGAAGAGAGCTTGGAAAATTTGATACTCATAGAAAAGACTGAAGGCAAGGAGGGCTGAGGAAAACAGCGCACATCATACTTAGTGAGAATGAATAACGTACTGATTCTCCAGCAACTCTCGTAGACCTAATCTTGCGACTGGATTATGGAATGGATATCGGGAATTTGGCTCTGAGACCTATCAAATCTTTATTTAACTATCGCTTGATTCACACACTGGACTCTTCACAAAAATCCGACTGAATGATAGGAAAGCAATCAAATAAGAGACGTTTATAAAATATATATATATATATATATATATATATATATATATATATATATATAAAGGGTGTTTCATTAAGACAGATCAAAGTCAGCATTAAATAAATTAGTGGTATTCGTGAAAATTTATTTCTATTATCTATTGGATCATGTTATTTAAGTCATGGCAATTATGTGTGAAAAGTAATATCGCCCAAATGTCCACCAGGTCAGAAAGAAAAAGAAGAAATCATTAGATACTTAAACTTAATTCACATTTAAAATGTGTGTGTGTGTGTGTGTGTGTGTGTGTGTGTGTGTGTGTGTGTGTGTGTGTGTGTGTGTGTGTGTGTAAAATTCAGATATATCTAAAATATATCGTTAGTTTTTAGGAATTTTTTTATTTTATATTAAAGTGTAAAATTTAACAAATATGAAAAACTAACGGCAATATTTGGTTGTGTTTTTAATGCTGGTTGCAAAATAATATCCTTACATTATGCCTTGATAAGGTCCCTCAGAGGACGAAACACGTTGGCTAAGATACGTTCTCGTCATATATCTTTTTTGACAGTCCTTCTCAGATATTCAGGTCGTTAGATGTAGTTGAATAAAAAAAAATATTGTTTATCCATCAAAATAACGTTTAAAGAAAATAAATTAAAAATAACCATATGTCGGATTTAATCCATTTCCTATATATATATATATATATATATATATATATATATATATATATATATATATATATATATATATATATATGTGTGTGTGTGTGTGTGTCTGTAATGAATGTAATGGTAAATGATAATTGTTGAATACATAAATGTTCTTTTTATTTCGCTGCATTCATATATATATATATATATATATATATATATATATATATATATATATATATAAGTCAAGAAAATCATTAAAAATCCATCTCGTTTATAATCTATTTCATGAATATATTTATCTATGCATCTCTTTTGAATTTAATTAAACAGCCATGTAGAGCGGAAATGTTTATGATAGGACTACTCGAATATTCAGGGCGGTAGATGTAGTTGGATAAAAAAAATGTTTTTTTTTTTATTAAAAAAACAGAAGTTCTACTCAAATATGAATATCCATCAAAAATAACGTTTAAGCAAAATAAATTAAAAATAAAAAATAAGTCGGATTTAAACAATTTCCTGCAATTAAATTGTCTTTGTTTACGTTAGAATAGATATGGATATTTCGAGAGTTGGCAGGGAAGTGTGTTCAAAAGTCACTATTGTGGCCTTGTTTGACCGGAAGTCTACGTGGCCGATCTGCCACTTACGTCCGATCCAATGACGGTTCCCAATAATGGATGCAGGTTCGAATCCCACTGTAGGACGTATATTTTCTGATATGATTTCTCGAATATTCAGTTAGGTGATATCGCTGGATAGAAAATATTGTTTAATTAAAAGATAGATCCATAAAAAAACAACGTTTATCAAGAATATGAGTATCGATAAAAAATAAAGTTTAACTAATATTAAAATATCCATTTCCTATATATGTATTATTCTTTTGTAAACGATTTTATTCAAAATGTAAACTACGGTTCTTATTCCGATCTGAAGAAGTGTTCGTCATATCCAGTTGAGATGGGAAAACCCCACTTGTTCCAAAATATATGCTTCCTCTCTTTCCTGTTTGACTTCCCCTCCTCCTAGTGGATGCTGCAATCGAATGTTTACCATAAGATATTTTATCACTTTTAAAGACAGTATACAGTGTGGAAGAAGCATTTCAGAATAATTAACCAGGTCTATTTAGCAATGAATTCGCTTGCGAAAATCTATAATCTAGCTGTCTGTATTGAATTTTATTTTAATTTATGCATATGTATCTCTAACCTTGACCTATTTACAAAACATATTAGAATAATCCATAACTGCATACGGATAACAAATGAATTCATTCAGTTATGTGCCATGCGTGATACATGCTTAGGCGATCATTTATCTTTCGAGGCAGATTTCTTCCCGCAGTTGGTTGCCACTTCTTTTTGCGGTAGACCAGTGGCCATCCAAGGCTATAGAACCCGGTCTGTCCTGCTATTACCCATAGCTGGGGGAGAAGATGAGGATTCATACATTTCCCCAAGAGTATTAACTTGTAAGTGAATGTAATGGATTCGACTGGAATTCGAACTCGGCTCTCCGATTTCTCAGTCCATTCCATTACTCCACCGTGCCTCCACTCAATATAGAAAGGGGTGTAAGTCAAGGATGTGTCTTCTCATCGGACTTATTCAACCTATTCTGTAGGAATTAGAAGTCCTACTAGGATTCGTTATTGGTGGCCGCAATCATGACAACATCAGATCGCTGATATAGAACTGAAACTACAACAACTCCTGCTGAAGGTGGTGAAGGAAAGCGAGAAGAAAGGACTAAATATCAAGTGCAAGAAAACGGAATGCATGGTTTTTAGCAAAAAGTGCATCCCAACTTGCAAATTTCAAATCGGAGATACCAAACTCAAAAGAAGTCCAAAAATTTGAATTGTTGGGAAATTTTCAACAGAGCATATTAAATCCGAAGATTTTTAACAAGGCACTTAAATCCGAAGATTTTTAACAGAGCACATTAAATCCGAAGATTTTTAACAGGGCACTTAAATTTGAAAATTTTTAATATGGCACTTAAATTTGAAGATTTTAACAGGGCACTTAAATCCGAAGATTTTTAACAGGGCACTTAAATCCGAAGATTTTTAACAGAGCACATTAAATCCGAATATTTTTAACAGGGCACTTAAAGTTGAAAATTTTTAATATGGCACTTAAATTTGAAGATTTTTAACAGGGCACTTAAATCCGAAGATTTTTAACGGGGCACTTAAATCCGAAGGTTTTTAACAGGGCACTTACATCCGAAGATTTTTAACAGAGCACATTAAATCCGAAGATTTTTAACAGGGCACTTAAATCCGAAGATTTTTAACAGAGCACATTAAATCCGAAGGTTTTTAACAGGGCACTTAAATCCGAAGATGCATTAGGATAGCCAAAAGATGCATTCCAAAAGCTAAACAGAGTATTAAGAAACAGAAAAAAAAAATCCTTATAAAGAAAGATGACTGAAATGTAATGTAATATCGTTTCACCTATATGGCAGTGAATACTGGACCATCTTCTCAAAGATGAAATAGAAACTTGAAGCAACAAAAATGTGATTATAAAAAAGGATGCTGAGAATACAATGGACCGAAAATGTGAGCAACTACGAAGGTTTGGAGAAAAATAAAACAAATAGGAAACGTATACATAACATCAGAAAGACACCGCTTAAATTCCTATGCGCAGAGATTGAGGAAAAAGGGATTAAAAAACCTGATACTCAGAGGAGAGACTGAAGGCAAGAGTGATCAGAGGAAATAATAACGTTTAATCTACTTAATGAGTTTGAGTAAATAGATGGCGGACCAGGGTTTATGAGCGATAACAAAAATATAAAATTTATTAAGAACTACAAAGGAGAAGAAATTGTGGAGAGCCATGATCGCCTACGCCCTGAAGTGACACGCGGGATGTACATTCATATTCTGTATCAATTCATTACTTTACATAATTTGAATCCCGAAATAAACCGAACATTTTTCATTTTTTTTTAAATATAAATACACCATCCTAATGGGTAATTAATTATATTAAAGATAACATTTTACGAGATAAAACTTAAAAAGTTTAATCTCTGAGAAAAAACTATCAATTGTTTTTGGTTATACACATTTACACAAGAGACGACTAAAGTCGTCATAGTAATCTTATCAGGACTATATAAATAAAAACAAAAGGGGTTAATATTTACGATTGCATTCTATCACTTTTGATATACATAGATATTAATAATATGCAATTCTAATAATTTTATATGCATTAATATTAGTGATTCATTCGATACATTTTTATATAAATGTGTAGGCAAAAAAAAAAAATGAGATAAAAAATGTAATGATATCACACTATTCCAATATGTCATTTGCATATGTGTGTAATTTGCAATAGACTATTTTCATTAGCACAGGCATACATACGTACACACAGATAGTTAACTTACAAACCACAAAAATGTAAATAGTATGAAAAATGTGCACTTTCAGACATGAGTATTGGTTTATATCTTGTTTTCTGTTTAGGATTGTGTTGTTTCTTCTCTTTCACACCCGGTAGACACTTTTGCGCCTCAGTGGTATTATCGACTTGCCTGGGCTGAATTGATTAACACACACACACACACACACACACACACACACACACATATATATATATATATATATATATATATATATTAATTCAATTTAAATAGAAAACAGACAAACTTAAAGGACACTTAAGGTTGTCTGTTTTCTATTTATTTAAATTGAATTAATAATTGCTTTGATTTGATTTTGTGCTCTCTGGATTATATCCTCCTTGGGATAATCCTTTCGGATTACCAGACTTTTCATTACTTATATATATATATATATATATATATATATATATATATATATATTGGAAACAAAGACCGATCAAATATGAATAGTAATCCAACAGAATGAAACCGTTGTCTTTTTTTGAAACTGCGAAAGTACGCATAATTTCAGAAACCGATAACTTAGCAAGGTCCATGCACGTGAAGTCTGCTTAACCAATTAAAATCAAACAACACATAAATAAAAAATTAGAAGGATTTCTTTATTTCTCCATATCCCATTCTTTGAAGAAGTTAATAAATTTTTCCGGTTTGTTCTTCAACCTATCCTGTTCTACGATACGCTATCTATCTATCTATCTATCTATCTATCTATCTATCTATCTATCTATCTATGTGTGTGTGTGGGGATACAGGAAGCGTATCGGCGCGGTAAAGGGAATCAAATTCCGGCCTAGATTGTTTCTTTTAATTTCATTCTCGTGCTGGATGAAAGAAACGATTACCTTTCTTCTCCCCGACTCTTAGCATTAATAGTAGGGTAGAGAGTAGACGTGTTTTCTAGTTTGAGCTGGATGAGAATTTAGAAGGATCACTCTGAAATCAAACAAAAATAATGCAAACGTAAACGCTTTTACGATCTGTTCAAAGTTTTCAGGATTCATGACAATTCACTTAAAGTGAAGGAAAGCAATCTGGAGACGTGGCGTTTAAAAATATATAAGAATATATGCACAAACAAATTAATATCCACCTGTCTACGAAGTGAAGCTTTATCGAGCCTGGTCAGTAAATAACAATATTCCGACAATTTCATAATAAATGACGTCATTTGTTTACGCAAAGATACGCTTTGAGCAGATATGAACCTTCGAGGCTAATCATAGGAAATTTGTAGGTTAAAATCAGTAATTCGACCTTGCTAACCAGACGCTTCCTTCGTAGCTAAATGGTATAGAAAGTTAGGCTATATGACGGTTCCATATATATTATATATTCGAACTGGGTATTGTAAGTACACATTGTTGCATCCCTCTGTGTATATTTGTGCATCTATCTATCTATCTATCTATCTATCTATCTATCTATCTATCTATCTATGTGTGTATATATATATATATATATATATATATATATATATATATATATATAAATATATATATATATATATAGATCCGACAGTATGAAGAAAAATATACGGAAAAAACAAACAAAAATCCTAATATGCAATTATGCTGTTTTAATGTTAATATAATGTCAACGTCCACGTTTCGGTTTAACCATCTTCAGGACATATTCATAAAAACATAATTAACATTAGACTATATTTAATTCAACATAAAATGTCCATCGTCTTTTAATATTGAATTAAATATAGTATATGTTAATTATTTTTTGAATATGTCCTGAAGATGATCGAAACGTCCGACGTTGACATTATATTAACATTAAAACAACATAATTGCATATTAGAATTTTTGTTTGTTTTTTCCGTATATTTTTCTTCATATATATATATATATATATATATATATATATATAAACAGCCGATTCGTTAAGTAAGTTCCTAACAATCAGAAGGATAAGTAACACATAGCACATTTGTTCTTGCAGACATTGCATCGTCTATCGTATTTTTTTTTACACTAATTACTTCAAACTATTATTGGCTGGCACAGAGAGTCGGGTTAAAGCCAGTTCCATTAACAGATTGTTTAAAAACGTGAAAAGCTTCCAAGAAGTAACAAATGTTTCCAAAGAGTGCAATATTGATTGTAAAACTGATGTATTTGTAGACAGTACAAAGGAGTTTTTTTTTCTTTCACCGTAACTGATTGTTCTGTCATATGAAACCACGGGTCGAAGAGCGCTCATGTCTTCAAGACAAATTATATAAAAGATGTAGGTATGTACATACGCGTAGTTATTGATTGATAATAGTTTACCTGCTTAAAAGAACTGTTTACCTGTTGAATTTTTCTTCTCTTTTGTCTTTTTTTATAATTAAAAAAAAACAGGATTTGCTCGTCTAAAACCCAGTCGAGATGATCACTAGCTCAAGAAGGACAACATTATCTCAGAAAAGCGCGATTGTTATGAAGATTGTCTTGCATATTAATTTGTTGCAATGAAACTGGTAATTGATTAGTCGTAGACAAATGTAACCTGACTGAATATATGCATGTACGAGATAAAACAATTTACTGATGATAAATGATAACTTATTACAATAGTGTGAGTTAAATCGGTAATATATTTACGTTGTGTTAAAATTGCAATAAAAAGAAATGAGACATTTTTTCTCAAATATGAATAAATTAGGCAGGGATACATGGGACAGGTAATTACATTGAAAGAAAAAGGGGACCCAGACAAGTGTACCTCTTCACACTTGATTTACTTAACTTTCACTGTGTGACCAGGCCTAAGAGAACTATAGGTCTTCCGAGGATTTATTAGACAAAATCATAACAAATTTGAATATTCTTGCAACAACCTGACGCATGTTGAGATCCTCATAGTATTTAGTATTATAGAAGATAACAATTTTGTCGAGATTTACAAACTTTCCGTTTCGATCAATTTCGCAAGCCAATCGATGAAATAAGAATAAGCTCATTTCTTTGGAAAAAAAAACACTTTGACAAAAATCATACTTCGCGATTTTATAATTTCTTTAATTTAATTTAATTTTATAGGACTTCATGACAAGCAATATTTTTAAAGAAAAAAATCTTTTTAGCAGCGAAGAATATATATATATATATATATATATATATATATATATATATATATATATATATATAAATAAGAGTTTCTTACTCTTTAGCATACAACATACAACTATCCATGCATAAATATTTATTTCTGGAGCCAAATTCCAACTTTCTAAAGTGTCTGTCCTTGTGATTTGTTTATGGTTCTCAAAAACGAAGGGTTAACCAGAAACTTGATACTTGTAGATAAAAACTTAAAGAAAATATATGCAAAAATATACCATTTTTATTAAATAAGTACTTGTTAGTTTAATCATTAAATTTATTTAAAAAATAATGGGAGTATTTTGTATGTTAAATGATAAAATAATAATAACGAAAATGTACTGTACTAAGCTACGCACCCTTGTAAAATCAACTGTCCTTTGTACCTCATTACCTGTTTGTACTGCCCAGAATTTGGTTTCGATCAGTCAATGTATGGGTATTTATAGAGTGTGATGGACGGAGAGACGGACGGATTAATAGACTGTTGATTGTTTTGTTTTAGTGGCAAACCCTATAGGTTATTTAGTGTTGAAATCTATATGTTCTGAACGAAATTTTTATTTATTTTTTTTTTGAGTTAATAATATTTTTAATGATAAAGTCTTACTAATTAATCGAAAGCTAGCGAGGAGGAAAAGATGGATTCATTTCTTTCCTAAGGTATTTGCGGGAGAGTGAACATAACAAACCCGACATGAATTGGAACTCCGTTCTCAGATTTCCATTTCCGAGCCGTTATCTATTACACGACCCGCACATTTAAGCTAACAACACTCGACATTATCAAGTGGTTTCCCATTCACGTACTGACCAGACTCGACTTTGCTTAACTTTGGTGATCCTACGAAATCCGGTGTTTCAACGTGATATAGGCGTAAACCGATACTACATTAGACGAAGCCCCCATTTTTTAGTCCATCCTTCTATTTCATTCATGGTGTCCCACTTTTCCTCTCCCTGGAAGTCAACCTGACACGTGAAAGTACCTCCTTTTTGAACCTAAGCAAAGATATATTAACATCAGGTTACATAGCATTTCTTGATGTCTATCCACATTTACAAATTTATAGCCTCTAAATATAGAGGAACATTTTAATGGACATATTGGAGTACGTAATGCTGCTTTCATTTTACTGTTTATCGTCGATTAATGCAATGAATACTTAACTGATCAGTTTGTCATAAAAGCTATTAGACCAAACCACAAGAACAGCATAAGGTGGGCAGAAAAGTGCATAGACTGACTATGAAGGAGTGAATCTAGAGCTGTGAAAACATGCATGCATTAATTCCAACTCTTCCTGTTAATAACTACATTGTTTAATCCTATGTAAAATGGCATCTACTTCTTCAAAGAAGACTTCAACAGTAATTAATGGGGAATTATCTTGAAAATGGGCAATATCTGATGTTGTGGCGTTATGATATAGATGCAAAAAAAAAAGGTTTAGTCCTCAATGACATTTATCTTGGCATGACTACTACATTTGGGGATGACGGTCCAGCTTTAACAAGAGTGCAAAAGTGGGCAGCTGATTTTAGGGGAGGAAGGGAGTCTTGAAGATTACCCAAGCTCTGGTCGCTGTGCAACTACCACCACCGAAGAAAATATTGATCATGTTCATCCCATGGTGTTGAATAACAGGCGATTGCCTATAGATCACATAGGCAATGCTATTAGCATATCCCATGAGAGAGTTGAGAATATTATGAACAAAGAACGTGGAATGACATGGGTTTCTGCGCAGTGGATGCCATCTCTTCTGACACGTGACCAAAAGCCTTCCAGTCTGGTCATATGATGAGAAAAATTTGACTGATTGAAGCAGATCTAAAAAATTTCCTTGACGATTCCTAATACAGGGTTGGAGTTTGGTTTATCACTTTGAAATATTGACAAAAAGGTAATCCATTAAGTGAAAACAACTCTCATCAACTGCTTCAGAGAACGCCAAGTTCGTTTAATCTGTCGGAACAGTGATAGTCTCAGTTTTCTGAGATACAAAAGACATTGTGTCGATTGAATATAAGGAAAATGGCCACCGCATCAATGGAGAGTACGATGTCAAATTACCGAGGAAGTTAAAAAAGTCTTTCAAGATCAAAACTAATGATAGATGTCTTGTTTCATGGGTAGAATGCTCTAGCACACAATTCCTTGGTTTCAATGACTAATGTGTGTGACTGTGGCTTGGAACCGGTTGATAACAATCCTCATTTTCCTAATTTAGCCTCATAGGACGATCATCTGTTTCCCAGCATGAAAAAACATTTGGATGGGAACCAGTATTGTAGTGATGATAATATCATATCTGTTGTTGATTTCTTTGACCAATAGGATTAAAGCTTCTTCACCAATGGAATATATGCAGTGCAACACCAATGGAAGAAGTATGTGGACTGCAAGGAGAACTTTCTCGAAAATAAACCTCATTTGGTCATATTACACGAGAGTGTCTTAGTCGGCATAGGAATCTTTCAGCCGGCACTCGTACATGTAAAATAATAAATTTGAATGTCAGCGTAAAAGAATGTGTTTCAATACGTCTACATTACACTCGAGTTATTAAAAGTCTGGCACTCTTAAGCACGTTTACTAAGGCGGCTAGGCAATATTGCAGACGCCTGCTTAGGCATATTTGTGTTTGTTCAACATCTGACGGCGGACCTAATTAATAGATAATGGAAAGAAGCGCATTATCTATCCTAGTGTAATCAACTCCATGAACAATAAAATCCTAGGTCAAGCTGACTTGGGACTTCATGCCAGCACAACCTTCGACGGCACCTCCAATTGTTCAGTCTACACAATTTAACTCTCAAGGATTGGATCGACATTGCCACACGTTGGTATCGGCTCTCTCAGAATAATAACGTTAAGAGGACACCTTCCTGACAAATCAGACCTGTTCAGATTCGAAACCGGATCTTATGCTGTGATATGTCCCGGAAAGGAATATATTTAAAAGGAGTAGCTAAGTGGTTTTGGCTACTATAACCAAGTAGAATACGGTAGCAGTAATTGACTGGTACGCGTCGTAGTCGCAGGTAAGAAGTGTAGATCAATGGCGCAGTTATAGACTTAGCTCTCAGACTAAGGCTCTGACTATCCTACACGTCCGTCGGTATTTATGACGGACACCAGCCAATCATATTCCAGTGAGAGGGAGCACAGGTGTATGCATATTCCATTATATCAGTCAGAAAGCGAGAGTTCTAACCACGTTATAATCCGAATATCTTATAACGAACAACCAAAATAAAACTTGGATTAGATTTGATATTTTGTTAGAGAAATATAAAACGTCTACTAAAACCCCAAACTGAGAGAAATCT